TCCTTAGCTTCTTTTTCCCCCTCTTCTTTCTCCTTGGTCGTGAGCTCACCACGACGACCACCCCTCTTGCCGCCTCTTGCCACCGCCCTACTGGCTACCTTCCACACCTCAGCAATAAGGTAAAATCTCTTGCCTCCATTACCGTAGCTTCCAACTATCTAAGATAAAAATGATGTTTTTATACTAATATGCTACTATATACTACTACATACTGCTACTACTTATTATTATTACTATTAGGGAAATTCTCAATGGTGCTCTTAAACTTTTTATTTTTCTCAATGGTAAACATCAAAAAATTAAATTATCTTTGGTAATCAAATATTTGTGTTAATAATTCAGTGGTAACATTAATGAGATTAATCTACAATTATAAACCTAACCATAGTTAACTAAAGGCGAAATGACTAATATATCCTTGAAAATAAAATTTTTCTTTATTTTTTTTAACAATTAAAAAGAAAAAAAAATAATCAACCACTAGTTCTTTTCCCTGCCCAACGCCCAAACCCAATCCACCTGCCCCCTGCGCCGGCCGCTCCCAGACCTCCCTCCCCCGGCGCCGACGCCAATTCCCTCTCCCTATCGCGACGCCTCCATTTCCTTCCTTCCCCTGTCGCGATGCCTCCCTTTCCTCCCTCCACAAAACCCACGAAATCCTTAATTGAAACCCCCAAGCAGCCCCGATCTCCATTAACAACCATCCCAGGCGCCACCTACCAACCGAAACCCTTGTTGGATACCGTCGACGAAACCCTTAGTCCCTTCGGTCACCTTCAATCTACGCCTCCGGTCACCTGCGAATTTTGGTGTTAATGGTGCTAACGGTGCCGCAAAAGAGAGAGGAAATAACTGCGGCCTGCGGGGGTGGGAATTGGGTGGTTTAGGGGTCGCGGCGACAAGGGGGAGGGGGTTTAGCCTGGCGCCGGGGATGGGATCTTGGTGGGCGCTGCCAGTGCCGGCTGGGAGCAGGGGAATTGGGCTGCGCGTGCAGGGGTGGCAAGGAAGAAGTGGGTGGTGGGTTTTTGTTAAAAAAAGGGGTATTTTAGTCTTTTAGCTTTTCCCTCCCTTTTAAAAAATCAACTATGGTTCCTTTAAAATGCTTAACTAATGGTACCACTAAATTAGTTTTACAAATTATAGATTACCAAAGATAATTAGATATTTTAGTGTTTACCATTGAGAAATAAAACAACCTAATGAGTACCATTGAGAATTTCCCTTAATATTATTATTAATAACGTTATCAACATTTCTATACTACTAATTTACTACTACTACTACTACTACTAATTTACTACTACTACTATATACTAGTAATACTGCTACTACTACATACTACTACTACTACTATCATTATTATTATCACTAACTCTCTTAATATAAATAAGGTCTCTTGAACTTGAAAATATAAGTATTGATTTTACAAGAATTGAACTAATGGCTCATGCACAACTAAGTCGATGGTCAATATTTTTAATTCCTTGTGTCTATGGGTTGAAAAATATTTGATTAGGATTATTGGTTTGTTGTAGGAGGAATTTCTCGTTTGTAATTAGGAGTTCCGTACTTGTGTGCAAAGATCAAGGTACGTATACATGACTAGATCTTTTATAAAGTGATTTTTATGTGCAATGCGATTTACATGATAAATGATTTTGAACCATGTTGAATGATTATGAAATATATTTCGGTGAAGCATGTTTTATCTGTTTGAACCCATATGTTTAAATATTATATGGTTGATTATAAACTTATAATGATACTCAAGTTGTTTAAAAAGGGAGTTTAATTATTTAAATTATCCCGGGTATGGGATATTAGGAGTTTATAATTATCAATCGGATTTATTTATTGAATCTTTGGATTTTGACTCCCACTATGCGGAGATAAAATTGAAGACTATGAGCTATATATGATCTAGTCTTTCCCCTTGATAGCACTATGTAAAGGAGTTACTAGCTTGGGGGGTGTGCACACTTAGGTGGAAAAATGATTTACGAAAATGAGGATTGAACCCATATTCTATCCTATTCGGAAGTATCTTTGAAAGATGTCGATTGCGAAAATTGATATGTTTTAATATGAGAATTTCTATTCATGAGTGGTTTGGATAAATTATGATTTATTAAAATCGAAAGCATGTTTAATTAACTAAATTGATTTTACATGTCTAGTATTTGTATGTACTTAGCATTTTGGCTAATACGTATTTTTCTTTTATTTTTGCTTGGCCCTACTTATCAATGATGATGAGTAGATAGGTGATGGCGATCAGACGACTGAATTAAATTCTGCATTGGGGACGATGGGCGGTGATCACCTAGTTCAATTTAGTAAATCTAGTATCAGTGTTTCAGTTATTTCGGAAATGTCGATCTTGAACTATTAATATTATTATTATTAATAATAAATGATAAATACTTTTCTTCCGCTGCAAATCTCTGTTAAGCCTTATGTAATCACGTGGCAGTAATATCCCCAAGTTACCCCCTAAAGTGGTATTGTTATTATTATAGAGTAATTTGGGGGTGTTACAAAGTGGTATGAGTTTTCGGGTCTTAAAAAGATTAAAAATGGAAAAATAAAATTGACGGGTAGAATTAAGAAGGGCATATAGGATAGAGTTTCGTATTTGTTTTATTTAATTACATACTAAGTATCTAAGTAAAAACTACTTTCTATTTTTATTTGAAGAAAGATAAATAGTGGGGATTGTTGGATTGGCAATGAGCTCTGGCTAGGCAGAACTTGGGCTCAGGGCGACGTCGACCTTATCCTCTCCTACCTGGGATCTCATTGGTCCAACTAATCCACATTATGAATCAAGTATCAACTTATAACTATATAATATTTCCGAAAAAAAAAGTTTGAAACGTATTTCAAAATGATTTCAAATTTTATGTGAATTATGTGCATATGGACTAAGAAAAAGTCCAAATTGTATTTCTAGAATATAAGGTTTGAATTGAAGCAAGATTATATTGACTGTCTTTTGGGAATTTTATATCCCAAAGTATATTGGTAAAGGTTCATTAATTAAACTGGAAATGGGTTGGAAGGTGAATTGCACTCTTATGTGAATTATATGGTAAAGTGTTTGTTAATTTGTGTGTTATAATTGTATGAAAATTATGATGAAATCTTGTGACAATTTATTTCAAGATATTATCTATGGTTGCTTTTAAATGGCAATTTTTGACTTATTAGTTAATTTGAAGAACGTTTAGAACTGAAGATATTTTGTGAACTGTATAGTTATCACATCTCTAAGTCTTTGTTGGATGGATGAATAATTTGTTTTAAAATTCATTGTGCTTAATTACCACATTATTCAGGACCATGTCTCTAAGGCAATAAATTAATAAAGGAAGTAGTTCCAAAGTCAGCTCTGTCATCAAAAGGCTAACCAAAATAACCGAAAACATAGCTGGTATTGTCTCAAATCAGGAAAAATCCCATAATGACCTTAATGCTTTTGGGGAAATTTTTAAAAGAGTAGTTGTGGCCAAACCACCCACTTACCTCGACAAAGTAGACCCAACAAGCTTAGAAAATTGGGTGAGAGAATTTGATAAACTTTCTGATGCTATTAATTGCCATGAGGAGTTAAAAGTCAATAATGTTGTTTATTACCTTAAAGAGGAAGCTGATTTGTGGTAGAGTCAGAGGAGAGATGATTTAATGAGTATTCCTAAATTTGGGTGGGATGAATTTAAGGAAGCTTTAAGAGAGAAGGTTTACCCTGCCTATTTGAAGAAACAAAAGTGTATGGAGTTTACGAACCTTAGGATGGGGAACATGACAATTAATGAGTATTATAGCAAGTTCATTAAGTTAATGAGATTTGCACCTGAGGTAGTACCAACTGAAGCACTTAAAGCCCAGAGGTTTGAGCAAGGTTTGACTTTGACCCTTTAAGGGAAATTAGGAGGAGTGACCTTTGAAACCGTAGATGAGGTTTATGGGAGAGCAGCACACCTTTATGGGATTAAGGGGAGAGAGCTTGGGGAAAAGAGGAAGACTAGTGGGACTTTCAACGGGAGTGAGAAGAAACCCAAGGTTGAGGGGAATCCTAGTGGGAAATTCAATGGAAAAAGGGACAACAGGGGTAATTTTGAAAAAGGAAATGGGAACCGAGGGAATGGAGACAAACCCAAGAGAACCTATTTTTGCAAGAGATGTGGGAAAAACCACCTAGGAAAGGATTGTGAGGGAAACTAAGTGACTTGCCGCTTCTGTCAAAAGCTAGGTCACCGTGAGTATGAGTGTTACAAGAAGGTCTCTGATGAGCAGTCAGGTAAACCCCAAGAAGAGAAGAACCAACCCAAGCCAGCTCAGCCTAGCGAATTCATTCCTAAGCCTGGACCTAACAACGACATTGAAGCTGCTCCCAAAGGTCGTGTGTTCGTGATGAATAGCCGTGAGGCTGCAACTGCTTCTGATGTGGTAATTGGCAAATTTTGTTTGTTCTATGTCTACTAAAGTCTTGTTCGATTCAGGGGCATCTCACTCTTTTATTTCTAGAACTTTAGTAGATAAACTCAATTTAGAGAATCCGGTGTCTATTTCCTTAGATATTACTATCCCATCAGGGGAGTTGATGAGTTGCACTAAGATGCATCAGGGTGTACCTCTTGTCATTTTAAAAGTAGAATTTCCGTTAGATTTAATCGAGCTTGACTTACAAGATCTCGATGTCATTTTGGGATGGACTGGTTAGGAAAATACAAAGCCCAAATCGATTGCAAGGCCCAAAAGGTCACGTTGTGTGGCCCAGACAAAGTTAGGGTAACCTACCGAAGGGAAGGGAAGAAATCAGGGTTAAAGATCATATCTGCTTTGCAACTTAAGAAATGTGTAGCAAAAGGATATCCATTGTATATGTGTAGTGTCCAAAAGATAGAAGAAGGAGATAGCGATGATGGGAAGAATATTCCAGTAGTTACTAATAGAAAAACACAAATGTGCATCGACAAATGAGCACCGATTTTCAAAAACCGGTGCGAAAAACGCAAGCTAAACCCAATAAATTTAAAATGGCACCGGTTAACCAATGGCACTAATAATTAAAATAAAAACCCACGTATAGTACATAGGGGCAGCGGTTAACCGATGCCCTTATTCCCTTAATAATTAAAAAAAAAACCAAGCTTTAATCCTCCTTCGTTCTCTTTTCTCTCTCTTTTTTCTCGATCCCCCTTTCCCTTTCCCTTTCTTTCTTTATCTCTTCTCTCTTTATCAGGGTCTTCCATCGCCACCCATTCCACTGCCAGCCCACTCCATCTCTCTATTTCTTTTCTCTCCTCATTCTTCACGGCGATGATGGTGACGTTGGTCGCGATCCGCTAGCCCACTCCATCTTTATATCTCTTCTCGAGTCCTACTGAAAATTTCGTGGTTCGATCTGATTCAGATCCATGGCATCTAGCTTCTCCCTCAAAAGCAGCCGTAGGTATGAAATTGCTTTTTAGGGTTTTGTAATTTGTTTTTATTTTTATTTTTTTTTTAGTTTTAAATCTGGGTTGCTTTATATTAATGGATTTGTTTCTTTTAGGGTTTAATTGAGTTTGACACTCGACTGCATGTTGCTGCTGCTGCCTTTGCTTTGTTTTAATGGCGTTGTCTACTTCAGACCTTTCGATGATGTATCAATTGCTCGGTAAATCTCTCAGCACAACCAAACTGTTCAAAAACTGGGGAAAACTACGCTTTCTCAGTCCGAAAGTCGGCCTGGTTTCCACTCTTGGTTATTGGTAATTTGGTATGTATATACCTTCCTTTTTCTGATTGTTAATTTGATTTATTTTTCTATTTCTAGGGCTTTTGTTGTCTGTAAATGTTTGTTTAATTTGTTAAGTGATGGAAATTTGGTTTCATGAATGTAAGGTTTTGCGTGATTGCATTGCGTGTAATGTAGGAGGTGATTACTGCGCAAGATATTGTTGCTCAGGTTGATGTTCGTTTGATTTTGTGAAATCTTTGTGTTGATTGTTTGAATGGTTGTGAGTTTGTGTTGATTGTTTGAATGGTTGTTTTGTTGGTTTAGTTTGTTTAGTTCAATTAGTATTCTGTTTAGTTTGTTGTTGGTTTCGATTAATATGCTTTGCCTGCTCAAGTATTATTGATTTGTTTCTGCTTTGAATGTGCTAAAATTTGCTGTTATGGCTGAATAGAAAGAGTAATAGCTTGGTTGTTGTCTAGTTGAAGGGTAGTATATATGAATGTGGACTGGTGTGAAGCTTCTACTAAGTGTGCCATACCTCTTTGTGGATTCTTGTAGAAATTCTTCCTCAGTGGTGAAAGTATGGAAAATGCTATACGGGCATGCCGTAAAGGAATCAAAATAAGAAAATTCTTATACATAAAGAAGGTAACAATGGGCAGCAAGTATGATTATGCGGCTTGGATTACTTTGTTTCATCATTTTGTGTTAGAGCTACTTGTTTATTGTAATTTATTTGTTGTACTCTATTTTTCTACTAATCTCAGTCACATTTTAGTAGCTGATATATGATAAACTACCACAAGATATTGCGGATCGACATGTATTCTTGGGGTTTTGGTGGTTAGAAATTGGGTTGTTTTCCTGTATATACTTGTACTTTAGAGGTATTTCAGTTTTGAGGTTATGATTGAAATATTATTATACAAACTTGTTGATTTAGGCTCAAAGTAAATTAATGGTTTACATCAAAAGAATCAGAAGTTAAGTTTTGATAATTTATTTAGTTGTCATTTATTGTATTTATGGGAAACCTTATTGTAATTTGGAGGGCTTTGATGCTTTGTTAATAATAAAGGCATGTACATTCAGCCATTCTAAATTTTGGGCATCTTTCATTATTACTATACCTTGCATTATCAGCTTAAATTTTGGGTTTTGAATTTGATTTTCTAAGTCGTGTTTTTGCCTTTCTTTAATGACTTGAACCTTCTGCCTAGCTTCCCTGCTGCTGCCTAAAGTGCACCCCTGATGCTGCTACTTTTGCTCTGCTAGAGCTGTTGTTGGTACTTTTGCTATGCTAGAGTTCATCCATAATAATGCAGCCTTTTTCTTTATAGTCGTTATCTCTGGTTTGAACTGTTTTCAGCTTCTTGTTCAAATTGTTAAGTTGTCACAAAAGAAGGAATGGAGGGTGATAATGGAGGATGGAAGGAATGGAGGGTGATAATGCTGTTGTTCTTCTACTATGCAATTCTTTGTTGCTGCTTCTGTGCTGCTGCTTTTGTGCTGTTGTGCTGCTGCTTCTGTGCTATTGTGTAGCTGCATATGTTGCTCTTTGTGTGTAGGTGGATTTGGTGAAATTTAAGGGTAATTTAGATGAAAGTTTCCCATATACAGAATTTTATTTTATTTTATTTGTGTGTAATCTTGTTTTATATTTTATTTTTTTGGACGAAAATTGTAATATTACAACCTTTTTTTTTAATGAAAATATGTAACTTTATATATATGTTAGTGTTTATATATCAATTTAAGTGAAAAAAATGTAGAAAAATTTGTTTAATTTTTTTTTAATTTTTTTTGGGGCATTATAGGCACTGGTTTTGAACCGAAACGGTGTGAATAACACGTTATTACCACCGGTTAACCGGTGCTTATAACTGTTACTACCATCGGTTTTAAACCGGTGCGAATAATTTCACTTATTCGCATCCCTCAAATCTAAACTGGTTCAAAACCGGTGCGAAAAGCCGGTTTTGAACCGGTGCGCATTTCCCTTTTCTACTAGTGAGTGAAAGATTTTCTCGATGTTTTTCCTGAGGAGATTCCAGGGATGCCGCCTGTGAGGGATGTTGAATTTACCATAGACTTAGTGCCAGGGACATGACCTATTTCAAAGGCTCCATATAGGATGGCCCCGGCTGAGATGAAAGAGGTAAAGACTCAGCTAGATGACTTGTTGGAGAAAGGATACATTCGACATTGTTCATCACCTTGGGGTGCACCAGTTTTGTTCGTGAAGAAGAAAGATGGGAGCTTGAGGTTATGTATAGATTACCGAGAGTTGAACAATGTGACAGTTAAGAACAAGTATTCGTTGCCTAGGATCGATGATTTATTCGGCCAGTTGAAATATATTCAAAGATCGATTTGAGGTTAGGGTATCATTTGTTGAGGATAGCAGAATCAAACATTCCAAAGAGTGCTTTTAGAACTCGTTATGGTCACTATAAATTCACTGTAATGCCATTTGGGTTAACCAATGCACCTGCGGTTTTCATGGATTTAATGCACCGAATTTTTAGGCCATACTTGGATAAGTTTGTTGTGGTGTTTATCGATGATATTTTGGTGTATTCGAAGAACCAGGTTGTGCATGTGGATCATTTGAAGACGGTATCGTAAACCTTGAGAGAGCATCAATTGTCTGCCAAACTTTCAAAATCTGAGTTTTGGTTGAAGAAGGTAGATTTCCTAGGTAATGTGATTTCTAAGGAAGGGTTATCGGTTGATCCAACAAAGGTAAAGGCGGTAAGTGAATGGCTGACCCTGAGAAAAAGTGTGTCAGAGGTTTGGAGTTCTCTTGGGTTAGCAGGTTATAATAGAAGATTTGTCAAGGATTTCTCGATAATTGCAAGGCCTATGACGAGGTTGATGAGAAGGGAATGTAAGTATGACTGGACTCCGGAACGTGAGAAGGCTTTTCAGTCATTAAAAGAGAAGTTGACTACAGCACCTGTGTTAACCTTGCCTGATGGAAGTGAGAAATATGAGGTGTATAGTGATGCATCAAAGTTCGGGTTAGGTTGTGTGTTGATGCAAAATCGAAAAGTGATTGCATATGCCTCGAGATAGTTGAAGCCTTATGAGGTGAATTACCCGACCCACGACTTAGAGTTAGCCGCAATCGTGTTTGCCTTGAAGATTTGGAGACACTACTTGTACGGAGTGACGTGTAAGATTTTCACCGATCACAAGAGTTTAAAGTATATATTCACTCAAAAGGAGTTGAACATGAGACAACGGCGATGGTTGGAGCTGATTAAGGATTACGACTTGGATATCCAGTATCATGAAGGGAAGGCAAATGTTGTGGCCGATGCATTAAGTAGGAAGTCAAGCCTTGCGATTAATGCAATGATTCTCCCAGATCAATTGTGTGTAGAGTTCGTAAAGATGAATTTGGAGGTATTGGAACAAGGAGAAGTAGAGAAAATGTTGAGTGCCTTGTTAATCAAGCCATCAATTTATGATGAGATTCGAGAAAGTCAACCTGGGACGAGAAGTTGAACAAGATTAAAGGGAAGGTCGAGGAAGGGCAAATATTGGACTTTGCAATAGCCGATGAAGGAAGCATGAGGTTTAAAGGGAGATGGTGTGTCCCCCAGAATCGAAGTGATCTAAAGCAAAAGTTGATCGAGGAAACTCATAGTTCTCCTTATTCAATGCATCCCGGAGGGGATAAGTTGTATAAGGACATGAAGAAGACATTCTGGTGGCCGAATATGAAAAAGAAAGTGGCGGAATTTGTGGCTAGACGTTTGACTTGTCAAAAGGTCAAAATTGAGCATAAGAGGCCACAAGGAACAGTTTAATCCTTGGAGGTGCCTAGTTGGAAGTGGGATTCAATATCTATGGTCTTCGTGGGGGCTTTACCGAAGGCTCGAGCAGGAAATGATACAATTCGGGTCATAGTGGATCGATTAACAAAATGTGCAATGTTCATACCCATGAGGAGTACATGGTCGATGGATTAATTGGGGAGAGCGTATGTGAAATTTCCAGTGAAATACCATGGTATACCAAAGGACATCATCTCGGACAGGGGACTCAAGGTTCTTGTCCAACTTTTGGCAAAGTTTACAAAAAGCTATAGGGACTAAGTTGTTGATGAGAACTGCATTCCACCCCGCAACCGATGGTCAAACAGAGAGAACAATACAAACATTGGAGGATATGTTGAGATCATGTGTACCAGGGTTCATGGGAAGATCATTTGGACTTAATAGAGTTTTCCTACAACAATAGTTATCACGCAAGCATTGGGATGGCGCCATTCAAGGCTTTGTATGGGTGAAAGTGTAGAAGCCCGATATGTTAGAACGACATAAGTGAGACTGTTATACTTGGGCCGGAAATGATCGAACAAACTGTAAAACAGGTAAAGATGATTCAAGAGAAAATAAAAGCCGCACAAGATAGTCGAGCTATGCAGATTTGAAGAGAAGGGATGAAGAATACGAAGTAGGTGAGAAATTCTTATTGAAAATATCTCCGATGAAGGGAGTGATGAGGTTCGGGAAAAGAGGGAAATTAAGCCCGAAGTACATTAGGCCTTACGAGATCATCCAAAAGGTGGGAAATGTAGCATACAATTTGAATTTGCCTAACGAGCAAGAAAGAGTTCACAATGTGTTCCATGTGAGCCAAATCCGAAAGTACATACCAGATGTTTCCCATGTCTTACAGCCTGAAACCATCGAGATGGACGAGAACTTGACTTATGAGGAAAGACATGTGAAGATTCTGGATAGTAAAGTGAGAAGCACTAGGAACAAAGATGTTAAGATACTCAAGGTGTTATGGTCAAACCATAAAACCGAGGAAGCTACTTGGGAAGCCAAAGCAAATATGAGGAAAAGATATCCAGAGTTGTTTTCTGAGGTCAGCAGTCGAGTTACGGGGGCGTAACTCCTTTTAAGGGGGGTAGAATGCGATAGAGTTTCGCGCTTTTTGGTTAGTTTTGAGTCAATTCGGGTTATTATATGTTGTGCATGAATCACAGTTTAAGTCATTTTGAGTCATTATAGGTTGTGCATGAGTCAATTTATACTGACTTGGATTATTTAACCAATTTTGACCTAAGTTTCAAGGTCGAAACTTCTTTTAAGGGGGGTAGACTGTAATACCCCGTATTTTTAAACCCGTTTACTAATTATTAGTTTTGGATTTTTCCGAAATATTTTAAATATTATAATTTATTATCATATAAAAATATTTAATTAAATATATGATTTTACAAAAGATAATTTTATTATAATTACTCTTTATAAATTTGATTATACGAGGCAAGCCAAATTGTCGTACCAAAAAATTCTTAATATACTCAAGCCCCATATATATTTGTAGTACACTAGTACTACACAAAAAAATGTCAACCTAGCATTCTTCTTCAATACTACTACAAAAAAAAAAAAAAAAAAAAAAACTCATGTCGGCAAGTAGGAGACTAAAAGTCTTCCAATTGTATTAATTAGTCCAACTCCTTGCATTGATTGATTTAGTTGTAATAGTACTAAGTTAGAGCTATATATATAGCCTTGAGTGGTAACCACCATTACTACCTTGCTCTATTTCTACTCCAAACTCCTTCTTCCTTAGCTTCTTTTTCCCCCTCTTCTTTCTCCTTGGTCGTGAGCTCACCACGACCACCCCTCTTGCCGCCTCTTGCCACCGCCCTGCTGGCTGTCTTCCACACCTCAGCAATAAGGTGAAATCTCTTGCCTCCATCACCGTAGCTTCCAACTATCTAAGATAAAAATGATGTTTTTATACTAATATGCTACTATATACTACTACGTACTGCTACTACTTATTATTATTACTATTATTATTAATAATGTTATCAATATTTCTATACTAGCAATATACTACCACTACTATATACTAGTAATACTACTACGTACTACACTATTATTATTATTATTGTTGTTGTTGTTGTTGTAACTAAGTCGATGGTCAATATTTTTAAGTCCTTGTGTCTATGGGTTGAAAAATATTTGATTAGGATTATTGGTTTGTTGTAGGAGGAATTTTCGGTTTATAATTAGGAGTTTTGTACTTGTGTGCAAAGATCAAGGTACGTACACGTGGCTAGATCTTTTATAAAGTGTTTTTTATGTGCAATGTGATTTACATGTTAAGTGATTTCGAACCATGTTGAATGATTATGAAATATATTTCGGTAAAGCATGTTTTATCTGTTTGATCTCAAATGTTTAAATATTATATGGTTGATTATAAACTTATATTGATGCTCAAGTTGTTTAAAAAAGGAGTTTTATTATTTAAATTATCCCGGGTATGGAATATTGGGAGTTTATAATTATCTATCGGATTTATTTATTAAATATTTGGATTTTGACTTCCACTACGTGGAGATAAAATTGAAGACTATGAGCTGTGTATAATCTAGTCTTTCCCCTTGATAGCACTATGTTTAGGAGTTACTAGCTTGGGGGTGTGCACACTTAGGTGGAAAAATGATTTACGAAAATGAGGATTGAATCCATATTCTATCCTATTCGGAAGTATCTTAGAAAGATGTCGATTGCAAAAATTGATACGTTTTAATACGAGAATTTCTATTTATTTGTGGTTTTGATAAATTATGATTTATTAAAATCGGATCTTTCGAAAGCATGTTTGATTAACTAAATTGATTTTATGTGTCTAGCATTTGTATGTA